AAAACCAGTGGGGAATGTGGTGAACACATAAAACAGATGAAAATTGCTGGGCTATTGAGTGGAGGGAAAAAAAACGTCAGTTTGACTCAATTGCTGGGCTATTGAGTGGAGGGAAAAAAAAAGTCAGTTTGACCCAAGAAAGAGAAACTGTGCTTGATTGTTAGTTTAGTTTGAAAACAATGTATGCTTCTAAGAACATTCTGAACTTTGCAACACCTGCCTGCTGGAACTGACAGGTTCTGCTTTTTGCCCTTGCAAAAAATCTTTGCACCCGCACCAACCAGAATGTGGTTTTCAGGCTTAAAATCTCAAACTTTCCTCGGTTTGGGGCTGCTCAGCATCTCCCTGCGTGGAGAAGAGAATGACAGCCGCCGGCCCGGCTAATAAAGGCTCTTAAAATTCCAATTTGGATTCTGGTCTCGGTTGTTTATTCAGGGTAACCCATTACAGTCCCAAGTAGTATGCTGAGCTAGGCAGAGTGATGCCATGCTGTCAGCAGGGATTGAGTTCAGGGAAAGAGGCTGTGACATCTCAGGGCATGACAATTACACATCAGAATTTAAGCACCGACTCTAAAACCCTAGGTCGTGCCCCAATCTGTGTTATGCAGATTACTCTTTATGCATATCTCTGTGCATAGTGTAGAAGTGATTTTAGGCCTCCTACCTAGCCCAACTCACAGCACTCAGTACTTCCTGCTTTTCTCACAGTCACTCATCCCCAAGTCACTCCCCTCTTCATGAATTAATTAAAATGGGTTCATCCCTGGGTCAGGGCCTTTGTTGCAGTTAGCCATCATGTTATAGCTGGACTTAGGTTCCCCTTGGCTCCCCACGACTACAAACACACCTAAGTGTCTTTATTCTTGTGTGGATTGCAGTGGAAACGGTAGATTGGAATTATTGGAATTTCAAAAACTTTTCCCTGGAATTACAGATGTGGACTCCAGCTGGGCATGGTGGCACATGCCTGTAATCCCAGCACTTGGGAGGCTGAAGCAGGAGGATCGTTGCAAGTTCGAGACCAGCCTGGGCTACAAAGTGAGCTCAAGGCCAGCCTGAGCTGCATAGCGAGACCCTGCCTCAAACAAAACAAAAGAAAACAAAAACAACAACAACAAAAAAGACCAGTCTGAACTTCATAGTGAGACCCTGTTTCAAAAAGACAAAAACACAAAAAACACCCCCCCACCCTCCGCAAAAAAAGTGTGGACTCCTTTGGACCACAGAGGGGTTTGGGAAGGGTTTTCTATCTGTACACATTGACAGTTAACCAAACACCCTATTTTTAGATGGTGGTTTTTCTGAAAATGCAGTGTTGGGGCCCACAAATTCACAATGGCCAATTTTGCATACTTCTCTAAGGGATAAATGGAGGTTTGGGATTACTGGTATCACCCTTTTGAGATTTCCCATTAAGTCTTTAGGGATGGGCCATCCTCTCCCACCCACTAAGACTAGACTAAAACCACTAAGATTAAAAAACACTCCAGGGCAAGATCCTTCTTAGCATAAAATCATCTCCTTGGTTTTAAATCATCCCAGGATTATGCATTTGCCACTGAATCATCCACCTGTGAGTCTTCTGCCTCCAATCTTGAGTCTTCCGCTATGGTTATAGGCAGCTGAGTTAGACAGAAATATTACAGGCAGTCAGACAGGGCCAGGCCCTCGAAGGAACCAACATGAAAGATACGTTTTTGCTGTGGGCCAGACTTCAAGACAAAGAACTAAACAAATGCACCCACATACCTCCCTAGGGATGGACATCAGGGATTGATATTCTAAATAGGTAGCAGTCACCTTGAAGAGTCATTGACCACACCCCTTACAGGAAAAGCCCCTGTTCTGTATTCATGCCCACTTGCTCTGTGACTTGCTTCCCCATTTGATCCGGGTTTAATCAATTTTACCTGTACAGTTCTTATTGGCTGACCATAGTTTTATCCATTTTTCCCTTCCCTTGGATCCACCTCAGCTTGTGGTTTTACTCTATAAAAGTCCCTAGTAAAGACAAAGTCTTGGGCTAACCCACTCAGGCCCCGCTTCTGTCCTTCTCTTGGACAGAAGCTTTCTTTCCTTCAATAAATATATTCTGCTTTTAACCCGCGTTCCTAAAATTCATTCTTTGATTTTAGAGAACACGAATTCCTCCCATACATCATTCAGGTTGGGAGTTTTTATTTTCCTGTATCACTATCATCGTATGCACCCAATAAATAGTGGTTGCTGTGGAGTGTCTCTGTCTCTGCTCATCCTGAGGCACTGACCTCCCAGTGTCCCTTCACTCATTACTAAATTTGTCTCTGTTTCTTATTTTATCCTTTCGTTGTAGCCCTCACTCAGGCAGTCAGGGATCTTGGCTAGGTCCCTGATAATGCAGGATTTAGGAGACTTTTGGTTTTGTTTTTTTGAGACAAGGTCTCCCTAAATTGTCCAGGGTAGCCTTGACCTCTTGATTCTCCTATGTTAGCCCCCTGAATAGTGGGATTACAGGTCTGTGCCACTACATCTGGCTTAGAAGATTTCTTCTAGGACACGTCCTTGTGCTTATGGAAGATTAAAAAATGACATACTTGGAGAAACTTTCCGTTCTGCCTGTTCTTTAAGACTCATTAAGACTCAGCAAGGAAAAAAAAAAAAGACTCAGCAAAGCCCATCCATCTGCTTGGTTTTTTTTTTGTTTTTTTTTTTTTGTCTTTTTGAGACGGTCTCAAAACGCAGTTCAGACCAGCCTTGAGCTCACTTTGTAGCACAGGCTGGTCTCGAACTCACAACGATCCTCCTGCCTCAGCCTTCCGAGTGCTGGGATTACAGGCGTGCCCCGCCACGGCCAGCTCATCTGCTTGTTAATGATAATGTGTAGGGGCTGGGGATTTAGCTCAGCGGCACAGCACCTGCCTGGTAAGATAACGTGTGTATATATATATATATATATATAAACACAGGGCTTTAGGAATTCTAGGGAAGTGCAGTACCACTGACTACACCCTTCAGCTCCCAAGCAATGTTTTTTTTTTTTTTTTGTATGTGTCTTTTTGAGCTCACCTTGCAGTCCAGGCTGGCCTGAAATTCAAGGTGATCCTGCCACCTGTGCCTCCTGAGTCCTGGGATTGCAGGTGTGTATCACCATGCCCAGCCTCTAAGCAACATTTTTAAACTGAAGAGTCAGTATTTAAGGATCTGTGTGATTTGTCACTAAGTTTTGTTTTG